GTATACCGTAGGGTTTACCTTATAATTAGTGACCGCAGGACACAGTGTATACCGTAGGGTGTACCTTATAGTTATTGTATAGGACACAGTGTATACCGTAGGGTGTACTTTATAGTTAATGACCACAGGACACAGTGTATACCGTAGGGTGTACCTTATAGTTAATGACCACAGGACACAGTGTATACCATAGGGTGTACCTTATAGTTAGTGTACAGGTCACAGTGTATACCGTAGGGTGTACCTTATAGTTAGTTACCACTTTAAGAGAATTTTTATATGTGCTGTAAAAATGAATTAAGTGAAAATCGAAAAATTGGATCAAAATTTCTAAAACTCTACTACCAATTGTTTCTTAATACCAATTAACTACTGTTTAGTASGAGAATTGATTTAACTTAATACACCGTATGGCTAGTGATGTTTAGAAACTGACGTTTCGGACGTTAGTCCTTCGTCGGAGTAAATGTGAACTAAACTACTGTTTAGTCTTATCACAGTGCTAGGTTAACGTTGTTTTGTTTGGTCGTGATAAGCTGTTAAAGTTGAAGACAATTATCCGACAGCCGAAAATTAGCGAATTTAGTCCAAATCTCTTTTCTTCGATTTTCGGTCGCGGTATTTTACCAAACAAACTACACAGTGGTTTCACTTACATTAAGGGCCTACCTATGCTTAAAATATTAGCAAAATCGATTTTTTGACCCTTGCAACCAGATGTTTGATTTTTGCTGACATGTACTCTCAATTTGGCCTTTGGAAATCCCATAATGTGCTTTTCCTTTGTAATGTCTGTTTCCTTTTCACAAATGTCATTGATGTTGATCTTTGGTATCTTGTATTTAAGAGAAAAACTAAGGTCACCGTTTTGGTTTTCAAGATATCGTGCGCAAAGTAATTTTTAAGTAATTTTGGCCGCCATTTTGAAATTTTGAAATTCCGAGGAAAGACTGGATATTAAAAACGGATTAAAACTTCTCAACACTATTTTGCTCATAACATGAGAACATACATATAAGAGAGGGATGGGTCTGTCGTCTTTAGAGCAAACATATTAGGTCAAAAGAAATAAAAGGGCCACAGCTATTTTGTCATGCATGTGAAATTGAAGAAAAGTCTATCACGGCAGAGCGTATAACTAAGTACAGCACACAGCAGCTTATCATAGTAGGACAGAGCAGATACAACAAAGAAGACAACAGAACAGCATAACATACGACAGTATGCTTTATCMTTTTGTTATTTTTCAGTAACCATAACATGCCATGGCAATTGATTGATTCGCTTTATGTCTGCAATCAATCGTCTTCTGGCCTTGGTAGTCCTATAATTTTGACTGTATCCTTATTGCTTGACATAAAACAAACAAATTTATATTGTGGGGAGTTCTCCCCATATATCATGGCTGCTGTTCTTGGATCTTTGATCTCGGCCCCATTGGCATCTTTATTTGTTGGAGGCCGCATGCTGAGTATATGACCTTGTTTATGAGACCACTTTAGATTTCCATCGCGACGAAGCCAATGGTAGTCGCTGTCATCTCCTGGCAATTGATTATGAGTTATTGTTACCTTCAAATAGCACTGAAAAGTCCTTCATCTAATTATTATTATTACTCGATGTCTAAAGGCCGATTTTAAATCTGCAGCGCCAGCATATTTTTTGTCCTGACAAAAGTCACTTCCGCCGTTAACGTGCAAGCGCGCGCTAAAAAACGAAAACTCACTTCCGGTTTTTTCGCGTACGCGTAGCATTAATCTCGTACCCTTATTTCTTACTGCTTTCTTAGATTCCCAGTTCCCCTATTTCTTAATGCGCATGTTACGGCTTTGGAATTGAGATTGGCGAAGGCACTATATATTTCTATGCATTTTTTTATTCGAAAAGATTCAAGAGAATTTCAAGAAAAAAATTTATGACGTCAACTCACAACGCCGCCATGTTACGTGACTACTTCGGAAAAAAGTCACTTTGCATTATGACGTCATTTACAGCAACTAAGATGCGCGCGAAAAGGCGTGTAATGTTAATGTTTCATGAACTTTGAGATGGTTTTTTTTTTATAAATTACATCAACGTGAAAGCATTCGAGAACAAGAAAGTTTTGATTAGTTGTGAAATTTTCACGAACGACCGTCTAGTTATCATTGTTATCCTTATCATCATTACTTATTGTTATTTTCAATTTCATTCCCATTTATTTTCGTTTACAATCTAATGCTTAAATTGATTACCAGAGAATCGTATTTTTAACTCACCCTCAGCAACAAATAGTGCTACCAAATGTCCTTCAGCTTCTTCTATGTTTGGGATAGCATCTCCAGGGCCTGCTGGCTTTTCTACCAATCCATCTCGTATTGCAGCAGCCTTTATCTCAGCCGGGGTTATTTTCGCGTAAATTTGGCCACCACCAACCCCTGGCTCTGCCGGCAAAGTTTCCCCAATATTCAATACGTCGTTGGCGTAATTGTAGCAGTTGTTTTCCCGCATAAAAAGAGGTTTTATCCAATTGGATTCCGAACCTTCAGCTGGAAATTCCAACGTGTAACGCTTCTTTCGTCCAATGTTGGCTGGTTGCACCCCTTGTTCAATAGCTGAAGCAATCTTTTTGAGAAGGGTTGGGTTCAAGTTGCCTTTAGGGGCTGACTGCAGCAACAGCTTTTGCAACTGCTTTGTCTTTAGTCCAACCACTAGCTTTAAGTCTTGCTTGTTAGCGCCTTCTCTGATAACGAGGCCTCTGTATCCAAACTTGTTGGGCATGTTTGTAAGAGGGAATGTCATCTTCGTATTCTTGGCGTTATTATACGCCTTGATGATATTGGCGTAGTTTGGAGAAGTAGGAGTTACTTTCCACTTGGGATCAGGACGACCAGAAAAATAGGCTACTTGTACTGTTAGGACTTGTTGGGCGTCTGAAATTACAGTGTTAATGAATAAAAATGATGATTATAGACGTTGAAGATTAATAGTATAATAAAAGGTCCATGTGATATATCGAAATAGCAATTGGCTTTGCTATCCGGGGAGTGTTTGATTCAGGTGGAAGTTTGCTCTGGAACACGGCCGGGGGGTTAGGGTTTGGAGAGCTCTGGCAAATCCCTATGCAAACCAATCCCAAATGGGTTAAAGTTTTACTCAAAACGTGACAGATGTGTGAATCAAAAATTTATCATGTAGGAAGTAATGTTAGGTATATACAAGGCTTTCTCGTGCAGAATTTTGTTTTTAATAAATCCGCAAAGTATTTTTTCCCATATTCGAAATCACGTGCCATGCTATAGATTAATATTGAATTGTTGTTTCAAAAAGGTGAATGCATTGTCTATACAATTAACAGAACAATGCGAACACTAGTTTATGAGAAGGTAGCGGAGATATACATGTCAATATACATACAAGTCTCTTTTTTTTTTAACCGAATCCATAGTTAGGTTTTATGACTAATTTTGTGTATTGATATATTTTATTATAATGATTTATCAATATAATGTTTGCTTATTCGAGATAAAAATCACATACAATGAATTGACAAAGAACGTGATATATCTTAAGTTCTAGTTTTTCTTCACGAAGGATTTTATTGACAAATAATGTAGTATTTTTGGTTGATTAAAGATTATGATCATTTAAAACTTTCATTGAATCACTGAAANACGATGCCAAAAAAAAAAACAACAACAACAAAAAAACAGATAGAACGCTAGTATTTTTTAATTTCAGAAGAAAACGACTCCCATCTGATCTGCTGAAGAAACAATGAAAACTATTTTGAGTAAAGAAATAGTAAAAACAAAATTTACATTACAAACAAAAAAAGAAACAAAAAAACCAAAAAAAAAAACAACAACAACAATACAATAAGTCAACTGTTAGAAATATTTTTAATCTGTTCAGTTTTGCTGTTTTTTTCAAAGAATGTTTAACTAAAAATGTTCCGCACTAGTTTATGTTTTCCTAGGTACTCACCAACAACTTGCACTACCCCGTAAGCAAAAACTACAACAACTAGTACAATGAATTGCATTGTTTAGTCTTGCTTGTTCTTCTATAAACGAAAATAAACAAAACATGTATGCATAAATAGGAGTATAACTAAACTATATATTTTTTTAAAAAATGAAAGAATCCGAAAAATTTCTCAACTATGATCAAAGATAACACCAGGTACTTTTTAGCCGAAAATGTTATAATTTTTTATTATAAACTTTTTTTATTTATATSTAATTAATATTCTGATACGATAACAAGTTTAATACAAACATTAGCACAAGAAATATCTTGAAAGTATGATTCAAAGTCAATATATAAAATGAAAGGTTGCAATTCATTAGACTTACCGGCAAGCTAAAGATATCGTTAACGAAACCAGGCCAGACGGAAGTACTGAATCAAATCAAATTCTGGTAACTTTAAGAACCGTAACTTGGAACAGTTTTATGATATCATAAGCTGTCATGATGTGACATTTTCATGGTAGTAGCAGAATTCCCTGTTTCGTTTTTGTTAATGTTTAAATACCGTAGGAAATACCCTCTGTTTTATTAATTATATAGCAACCTGAATTTAACGCACGCTCTTATTGGCCAATTATAATTCATTATCAACAAAAATTCATTATTATTATTATTATTATTATTATTATTATTATTATTATTAT